CGCGCGCCCTCCCGCCTCCAGCCGGCCCCAGCCCCAGCCCCAGCCAAGCAGGCGGCGGCGGGCGGGAGCATGCGCGGTGCGCCGCCGGCGAGCAGGCGGGGAGGCAGCGCGCATCACTCGGGTCCCCTTCCTGCACCCAGCCGCCACTTGCCGGTTGCTAAGCAGTTATCATTGTTTCTGTGGCGATTGCAGAGGCTGTTGCTAATTGCAGAAGCCCCACACAGCAGCAGCGTCTCCCCTCTCCCGATCCACTCTCTGCTCTTACCGAAACTGGGCTGGTCTGCCGACCTTCCTCCCCCACCCTCTCCAAAATAGCCTTTTGATTCGGAAGTATGGACTAAAATCACATCGCTCCTCCTGCTCTCCCGTGTGGACTCTGGTGGCTCCAGGCTTGCCTTCAGTCCCCACCTGCCCCGTGGTGGCGAGCCCCCGGGCAGAACATGACCACGGCCAAGGAGCCCAGTGCTTCGGGGAAATCCGCGCAGCAGCAGGACCAGGTAATGCTGGTTTCCAGGGTGTCCGTGCGTGTGAGTGTGGGGTGGGGGGAGAGGGAGGGAGGGAGAGGATGTGCCTGCCTGGATCACGCTGTGTGTGTGCTGGTAGCCACCTGGGCACCAGCTGGGTGCTGCTGGGGTCACCTTTCTGCTCCCCCTGCTGGGTTTCAAGGATGTGGGGCTTTCTCGGGAGGCATAGGAAGCCTCTGACAGGTCAACCTGACCGCTGCACCTTCCCACAGAGGCCTCTGCCCTCAGGCTGCCTCACCCACCCTGTGTTAGTTGCGAGGGTTCCTAACTACTTGGTGATTTTTCAGGGAAGGCTGTAGCCTCAGCACACACTGGCTTATTCTGACCCACCAACAGGGCTTTGCTTTGGTGCTAAGACAGGTCAGAGGAGAAGGACTGTTGAAAGGACTTTCTGTGGAGACTACATCTCCTCCTGCCTTTTCTGTTCTACAGCAAGGATCCGTTCAGGCGGGTGATGCTCGCCCTGGGCAGGTAGTGCGGCCTCTCCCTGCCCAGAGTGACAGGCGCGTGGTCAGAGCAAGCAGCAGTCTAAAGGGGCAGCCAGGGTGGTGACCCTCTGTGCTGCGCCCGGGGCCTGTGCATGTGGCGGAGGGCAGCTCCCTCCCTGCCCCGGCGGCCCGCCATCTGCAGAGGCTTGGAGGTATGGGCAAGTAAAGGTGGCCCGGCAAGCGTGTCTCGCCACTCGTGTAGACACATTATCCCCTAGAAGACCTGGAGGGTTCTTGTCTTCTAATCACTGCTCATTCACCTCAGGCAGGTCATTAGCAGAAGTCCTGGAGACATCAGGGGGCTTGCAGAGCAGTTTGCTCAAGCTGGAAGCCAGCAGCAGGAGCCGGAGTCTGCCGTTGATGTTAGGGTGGCCCTTAGACCTGCTCTGCTAGGATTGGGGCCAAGATAGGAGGCCAGGGAAGCAAAGGTGCTGATGAGGACATTGTGTGGTGGAGTCCCATCCTCAGCTGCTCAGACACTCTGCTAGTATTGGGGCCAAGATAGGAGGCCGCTCTGGAGGCCAGGGAAGCAAAGGTGCTGATGAGGACATTGTGTGGTGGAGTCCCATCCTCAGCTGCTCAGACACCACCGTGAACACGGCTCTGGTCTGCTTCCCGTGAACTCCGCTTTGGGGGCACTCCCCCAATGCGTGTTCATGATGACAAAGGGACCATCCTATTAAAGTTGTCATCCTCATCTTCATTATCCTCGAAAGAACTTAAATGCCATTTTCTCTCTTCTGGGAAGAAAATTTTGTAAATATGGAAATGTCAAGCTTCTTCTATTCCAGTATGAGAGCTTGTGTAAGCCAGAACGCTTAGTATAACTTGCGAGGCCGGGAATAGATCAGCCGAGCCCACCTCCTCTGAGAAATTCTACCAGATACATGCTCAGTGAGGAAACGTTTCCCCAGCTCCATCCTGTGAGCGTCCGGGTTTCCTTTTGTTACAGTTCTCTTCCCTCACTGGGTGTCCAGCATGCGCTGGGCTCACAGGCTTGAACTGAGGCTCAGGCCGAGGCAGTAAAGGAAGATCGCAGAGCTGTGCAGGGGTCTGATCCAGTGCCAGGTGTGGAAGGCCCCGTCTGTTACGTAAAAGAAGCTCCTGGTTCCTGCAGAATTGTGCCCCTGTGTTGCCCAATAGTGCAGCAAGCCCGGGAGCGGTAACAGGGAATTAGGGGTGGATTTTGCAGGACCTGCGAGCTCTCGGTTTGATGTTATACCCTTTGGTCATTGGCAACTCCTCATCTTTGAGCCTGCTTCAGCATGGAAAGCTTAGGCTGGTCTACACTGAGGACAGAGGCAGCCATGGCTCAGAGCAGGTGGCACATCTGGAAGCAACTGTCCTTGCCACATACAGTTGGGAAGTCCCTTTTCCTCCCTTCTCAGAGTGGTACCTTCTCTATGCTGAAAAATTCAGAGCCTGCCCTGTGAGGTCCCGAGGGTCACCATCAGGACAAGGGGAAGAATGGCAAAAGGAGACAAGAACAAAGGTGTTGTGTTTAGTGCACACATACCTGTACAGGGACCTAGGCTACAGTCGGAACTGTTCAGAACACAAAGACATACATGAAATACTAAAAATTCCTACAGCTCCTCTTACTCTTACACACACACACACACACACACACACACTTTTATTTTTATTTTTATTTTTTTTTTTGCTGTAGGGCATATGTGCTCACCAGAGACAAAGAGTGAAAATGAGAAGTCACTCTTCCACAGGGGATGGCCACACCACAGTCGCTATTCCATTCTCTTCTTGGAATTTTGGGCATGCATATACATGTGCCTGGTGTAAATTTCAAGCCATGAAGTACAGGATTCAAACTATTTACTGTCCCTGTAGGATCCAGCTGCCTTGACCTCCATCCCTCCTGCTGGCTCCATCAGTATAAATAATTTTTTTAAAGGCATTACAACCATCCTGTGTGCATAGATTGTAGAGTTCTTGAATTCTCTACTTTGTTTTTTTCCTGTTGCTACAGAAACTTTGAGGACAGTCCTATGTCCAGCCTGGTAGAAATGAATAGGGAGATCAGGCAGGAGGAGCGTGCTCCTTTTCAGGTTTTCACATTCCAGGTGGGGAGGGAAGGAGAGAGAACAGGAGAGAGGAGGGAAAGGATGGATGACCGCTAAGTGTCTTGGCATTTAAGTTGGGGTCAGTTAGTCGTACTGAGTGGCCGCCTTTAAACCACCACACACCGTTTCTTATGAGAAAGCCAGGGGCCATGACGCCTGCACCCTGACCCTCGCAGGGCCTGGATTTTCTGTGACTTGTCCTGAAGCCGCACTCCTTAGCTGTCAGCTGGTCGCTGCAGAGACTAGGCCTGGCCTCTTAGGAACCAACGGGATGTCACCGTGTGTTTACTACTTTGGAAGCTGGGAACCAGGTATGTGGGTGGTGGGTGGAAGTTACTCTCTGTCGAGGATTACCAGAAATTAATTTAAAAAAAAAGAAGAAGAAAGAAAGAAAAGAAAGAAAGAAAAAGGGAGAAAATATATAAAGCCAAATGATTTTAGCTGCTAACTAGAGATTGCTCCTTTTTATTCCGATGTGTTTGCTACAAATGTCGTAAAGACAGATGAATACGTGAAAAGAGTTGTTTTTCTTTCTGTTTCTTGGAGGACCCTGTATGAACGCATTGGAATAAAAGGGAGAGTTGACTCCTAGAAGACCATTTCTCCCTCTGAAGATGCTAAAATGCATTTTTAAATAGAGTATCAACTCAGCGATGTTTGGGAACACTAGATCTTTGAATCTGAATGAATTGAATTCTTCTTTGGCTCCGAAGCCAGTCAGGAAAGTCCGAGGCTCCTCAGTGAAATGGCATCGCTGTGGGCTGTACTCGCCTGTCTTGAGCAGAGTTAGCCTAGTCGGGGAAGAAGAAAGAGCTGAGGCGAGTTTGGTTTAAATTTAGTGCATTTTTTGCCAGTACACTAAACCCTTCCTTAGAGAATTAAGTTAAAGGATTTTACCCTTAAATAGAAGTACACATTTATTTCGAAACATACTGTCCCCATGGCAAATGAGTTCAAATGAGCAAGCGGCGGTCAGTAATGCTATTAAGTAAGAGAGGACAGAAGATTAATTTTCCACGCTTCCCATCAGCCGTGGCACGTTTTTGCTCAAGTATTAGGGAGGGATGAGTTTGTGCCAGCACATTCTACATACGTGTGTGTGTGTATGTGTGGATGTGTGTGCATGTCCCAATGAGCACATGTGTGAACACATACATACAGTTTTGTTCTTGTGATTTCTAGACTTTTGCCATTGGGCATGTGTGGTCACTTGAGAGAGGCAGAGAGAGAGGGAAACTGAGAAGTCACCTACTCCCTGCAGGGGGATGGCCATACTGCAATCCCGTCGTCTCCATTCTCCGCTCAGGATTTTGGGCATGCACACACGCATACACACCCAGCACAAGTTTCAAGCTGCCGAGTTTGGGACTCAAACCCTGTTGGCCATATGGGAATCCAGCACTTTAACTACCACGCCACTGGCAGGCCCCCATGCATGTGTCACAGAAGCATGCAGAGACCCAGGCACCCTGAGTCTTCCTCCACCTTCTAGGGCTTAGGAATCTCACAATTATGTGAGCGTGTGCCTTTCTCTAAAAGATTCCAAAAAGTCCTCTTCTCACGTGGGAGCATCTTCCATTGTTGGCTAACTTGGGTCTTCTGCTACATCTTTAGCTTCCGTGGACCCGAAGATCATCTTTCCGATCATCGCATGTGTCGGTGACAATGCCTTTCACTGTTTCTTAGTTCTCAGCAAGGCGTGCAGCCCTAATGGGCACTCCCAGTGTTTCTGTTCTGCTTCTAAATCGTGGGCCCCAGGACCTAGTGCTGACTGACAGGTTGAACTGTTTGTTTGAACATTTGTTATAATAATGCTATTACGAGGAGAAATTTTTGAAATGATTAGAATTTTATAAGACAGCACATACAGAAGAGTGCATGCTAAAGAGCTCAGAGCTGAGAATTCTCAGTGGTCACTTGGCCTCCCTCCTGCAGGGCCATGGAGCGCCCTGCGCTCGAGGGCTCTGGCACCCTAGTCCAGTGTCCTCTGTGTCCGTCTTGCTGCTTCTTGCTAGAGTTAGATTAGATACGGAGAGAGAGGGTCTGACCTTGGCCACTGGGAGGATTAACGTGCTTATGTAAGCTTGTTAAGGAGCAAGCAGTGCGGACCACGAACGTGGCAGGTCAGTGAGGTCTTAGGAGGACAAGAAGACAAAGGGGTAGAAGGAACCCCAGAACACCAAATTCGGCACGGGGAGGACGGGTGGTCCTCCTGCTCAGATGCTGGCCGCAGCGAACGTGCTTGTGCAAATCAAATCCCATCTGTGTGTGATCCTCACTGGGACTCGGGATGGAAGGGAATTTCGAAGGAATGGCAACACTGGGTTCTTAAGAGTGCATGGAGAGGACTTCAGGTCGTGGAAAATGGAATTAAAATATGAGTTCATTTTGGCTTTAAAAAACC